AAGTACACGGGCCTCAGTTTCCTCCTCTGTGCAATGGGTCTAAAGCCCCCTGCTCCTCAGGCTGCTCAGGGGGTTGAATGCAGTCGGGCTGGAGGCAGGGTCGGAGCGCCATGCAGGTGGAGCAAGAGGACAGGGAGAGGCTTGGGGGTGCGGGCTGATACCTTTCCTTTGGCCCTGTTCTTCCTCCTGGGAATGTCATCCTCCAGGTCTTCCACCTCCAGGTCATGCGGGAACTCCAGCAGCTGCTGTTTCTGAGCAGTAGGAGAAAGACTGCGGTGGAGAAGGCGGAGAAGGCGGAGAGCCCGCGCCGCCCTGGGGCACAGCCGGGGCTTCCAGACAGAGGCGGCCTGGGCGGGCGTGTGGCACAGTGGGTGCACCAGCACAGAGCCTGGGCCCCTGCCGCCCACGTGGGAGCCTCAGGTGGAGCTCCGGGCTCCTGGCCTGGCCTGGCCCGGCCCCGGCTGGTGCAGGCACTTGGGGAGTGGGCCAGCGGGTGGAAGACCTCTCTCTGTGTCTATTTCTGCCCCCTTCTCCCTCCTCTCTTGCTGGCTTCCGGAGTTTTTAGAGAGAGAGAGGAGGTCGGGAAGGCTGGAGATGAGCCTGGCCCAGGGCCCCCAGGGGGCCCGCAGGGGGCACACAGGGGGCCCATGGGGCGGGCGGAGCCCCACCTGACAGTCCAGGGCGGCCTCCTCCTCCTTCAACTCCATCTTCTTCTCCCCCGTCTCGGCGCACAGCAGAGCCTCGAGGACCGGCCCCTCCGGGAGGCCGCCCTCCTTCTTCAGGGGCGCCTCACAGTCTGGGGACAAGGCCACGGGTCAGGCGGGAGGCTGCCAGTGCTGTCTGCGGGAAGGCAGAGGCGACCCCGCACGCAGCCTGCCTGGGCAAGGGGAAGGCGCGGCCGCACCCCCCCCACCTGCCACACTCCGGAGCGGACCGGGCCGGGCCGGAACCTGGGGTACTCCCCGAAAGCTTCACAGAAAGACTCGGTCGGACCATCACACACCCAGACCTACAGCCAGACGCTCGCGAATACCTAGCTCCCCGCGGGGCAGACCCCAGCCAGGCCTGGGACCCCCTGGGTGAGCGGAGATACAGAGACACCGTGCTAAGGTACGCAGTGGCACCCACGGGGTAGACACAGGCCGTCTGCGACAGTCACACAGAGCAAGCAACACCTGCAGACCAAATGCACCCTAACACTCCTAAGAGATACAGCCAGCCCCGCGTGTATTCCTGGACACATGGCACCCGCAGGTCCTGAGAGGCGGGCCAGCAGCTACTCCCAGTCCACCTGGGGGAGGTGGACTCAGGCCTGATCGCTGAGCGGGACACACACACACGCACGGACAGACACACACAGGGGGACGCTGCGACACTCGTGGCTCCATACAGACCTTTGGATACCCCTGGACAGGGAAGAGAAACAGCCAGAAACTGGCGTGGCCGGACGCCCTTACGAAGAGGGGACGTGCTGACGCTGATGCATGCAGAAACACGCCCACTCCACGGACACTAGCCACAGGCTCCCAGGTATCCCAGAGCAGGTGCACGCTCCCAGGACAAGAGGGGCGCAGACGCGGGTCGGCCAGACACACAGCAGAAGAACAAAACTTCCCCATCCCCTTGGGAACACCCGGAGCCTTAGCCCGGCCACAAGTGGAGGGCATGGTGCCCACTGCGGAACACAGAGCTACCAGTGGGTCCTCGGGGAACCCGCAGAGGGAGACCCAGCAGGCCAGAGAGAGCCCGTGTGCTCAGACAGCCTCCCAGGTGTGGCTAAGCCCTCCAGCACACTGAGGGGCCGGGCGGGGTTGGGGGTGGGGTGCTCAAGGACCCAGAGAGAATGCAGCACCTCTGGACCAGCGGCAGGGCGCCCACACCCTCGCTAGGAGGAAGGAGATCTGCGCTCGGACACCGGCCCCCACCCGCGAGCGAGGAGGCGCCGCACGCACCGATCTTGTACTCGCAGGGCCGCAGGCGCGGGTCCTCCAGGATGTTGAGCCTCCGTTTCTTCCTCCAGCAGCGGGCAGGGTACGTGTAGATCTGTCCCGGGGCCAGACCTGGAGAGACAGCCGTGGGGGAGGACGGAGAGAGGGAGAGGGAGTGAGCGAGCGGCCCCGAATCCAGCGGCCGCCCCGCCCCGCCCCAGCCCGGCCTCCCTCGCGCACCGGGCCCGCGGTGGGTCTTCTCCATCCAGATGTAGCAGTTGTTCTGGGCCACGCCGGTCTGCGAGTCGAGGAAGGGCAGGCGCAGGCTGCGCTCGGCGCACAGGCGCGCGTTGTAGCTGCGGCAGTGCTCGATGGCCTCGCGGTAGAAGTCCTCGCCTAGGCTGCGAGGGCGGCAGCGGGCGGGCGGCTGTCAGCGGGGGCAGCCCTGCCCCGCTCCCCGGCCGCCCCGCTCCCCGGGCCGCCCTGCCCTGCTCCCTGGCCCGCCCTGCCCTGCTCGCTCCGGGGGGACACGGGGCCGCCCCGTCCACTCTCACCTCGCCCCTCCTGGACCCAGGCTGGGGGCGGGGGGGGGGGGGGACACGGCGCCAAGGGGCCCCCAGTCTGGGGCTTATGCAGGCCTCCAGCTCAGGAGATGCCCACGATATAAAACGGACAAAAAATACACCAGGACCCATCCATACGTGAACACACAACCAAACGAATCACACACTCACACGGGCTCCACACACAAAGAGACGGATTCAATACTCACAAAGGAGAATCACAAATCTCACACACGTGCACACACAGATATCCCCGGAAAAGCACACATATCCCAAGTGACCTGGTGTGGAAAGAGACAGATCCGTGCACAAGTATGTGTCAGGTATCCAAAGACACACAACACAAACAAGCCACCCACAAAGACTCACAAGGTAGACTAGGCCACATCACACGTACACACACACACACACACACACACAAACTTGTGCACCCAGAGACACACACAGATGCACAAACGTCAAAAGAGAGAGACTGTAAGACAAATGGCTCCCAGGCATTCACCCACAGTATCCAGACACACAAATCACACACACACACACACACACATACCAGACACACAATATACAAAGAAATCACACGGATTCACACAGGTACACACATACACACTCACAAATATGCACGATGTAGAATTTGGTATCTAAAATAGCACATAGCCAAAGACACACACACACACTCATCAAATCCACCAACATCACACAACAATTTACAGAAAAGTGCATGCATGCCTGTCTACAGCTCCCCAAACACAGGACACTAGATCGTGGGTGCCATCCCGGAGGGGTGCACACACGCTCAGAGACCCAAAGATGTCCAACGCAGAATAAAAGAAATCCAACACATACCCAGACAGAGCCACACACACATACAGAGAACTCTCGCTGTCGCTCGCTCTCTCTCTCTCACACACACACACACTCCACATCCCAGACAAAGGTGGTGTGGACTTCACTGGAGTTTACCAAGGCCCCTCCGTTCCCCAGGCCCTTTCCCCCTCTCCCAAACCCGGGGGTCGCGAGGCAGGGGCGATGACCCCTTTCCTGGAAAGGACCAGAGTCGGCCCTAGCCCTCCGCCCCTTGCAGAGCAGCGCGCCGGACACCATTCTTGCCGGAGACCCACGGTCACGCACACTCGCACCCCCACGCAGCCCCGCACCCGGTGACAACCCCCCAGACACCCCCTCGGCCCCACCCCCAGCCGCCACACACACACGCACACACAGGCACACACGGGCACACATGCCTGCGCAGACCCGCCCGCGCGCCCGCCCGCGCCTCCCGCCGGCCCGCACCACCTCAGGGGGCCGGGGATGACCGTGGCCATCTTGCTCCCCGGGTCCTGCCCCCAGCAGGTCCCCGCCGGGTCGGTCCTCCCAGCGGTCGGGCGGGCGCTGAGGCCGCCCATCCATTCATTCCCGGGGGGCGGGAGCACGCGGGCCACAGCCAATCACGCCGGCGGGGCGTGCCCGCGCGGCCCATGCTGGGAGTTGTAGTCCCGGGCCCGGGCCCGAGCCCGCGGCGACCGGCGATGCGGAGGCGGGGCCCAAGGAGCGCGCACAGTGTGGCTCGCACGCGCGCCGTCCTACACACCTCCCCGTCTCACGTGCACAGCCTCACACGGGCACACACAGCCCCGCGCGCACTCCCACGTCAACGCCGAGAATTAGGCACACCTTGGATGCTGGTCCCTGGACCCCGCGGGCTCTGCAGAGCCCGACCCCGCCCCACTCGTGGCCGGCACCCCACCCACCCTGCTTAGTTCTGGCGGGCACCGGTAACCACACCTCTCGCTGGCCGTGCCCTTTGGGTCTTGGGCAAATGACAAGCTTTCTGGACCTCGGTTTTCGCTTCATCCCATTCGATGCCGGATGGGATGGTTGTGAGGGTTGATGTGGGTGTTTTAAAGGGGACGTGACTGCGGAGGGAGTTTGGGAGAGCAGTTAAGACACCTCTTGGGTCGCCAGCACCCACACCCACACCCACACCCATACTGGAGCTGGCTGCACTCTCCGTTAGAGCTTCCTGCCAACGCACACCCTGGGAAGCAGCAGGTGGATGGCTCAAGTATTTGGGTTCCTGCCATGCACGAGGGAGACCTGGATGGAGTTCTGGGCTTATGGCTTTGGCCTGGCCCAGACCCAGCTGGTTCAGGCACCTATGGTGTGAACCAGCAGATAGAAGGTCTCTCTGTCTATTTCTCTCCCTCTCTCTCTCTCTAATAAATTTTATTTTTTAAATAAAAAAGAAATTTTTGAAGAGGTGCCTGGCAGATAATGAGAACTCGATAAACTCATTTCAGGAAGAGGATCTGACCTGCACTAAGAAGTAAAATGGTGGGGCCGGTGTTGTGGCTCAGCGGCTTAAGCCACCTCTTGTGACTCCAGCATCTCTTATCTGAGAGTCAGTTGCTCCACTTCTGATCCAGCTCCCTGCCGCTAAGGTGCCTGGGAAGGCAATGGAGGGTGGCCCGGGTGCTTGGGCCCCTGCACCCCTGTGGCAGACCAGGGTGGGGCTCCTGGCTCCTGGCTTTGGCCTGGTCCAGACCTAGCTGTTGTAGCCACTTGGGGAGTGAGCCGGTGGGTGGAAGCTCTCTCTCTGCCCCCCCCCATCTCTCTCTCTGTCACTCTCTTTCAAATAAATAAATCCTTTAAAATTATTTATTAAAAGTAAAAGAGTGATCACTCTTAGGAAGAATCATGCATGGGCGCTGGTTCAAGACCCGGCTGCTACACTTCCGACCCAGCTCTCTGCTGTGGCCTGGGAAAGCAGAGAAAATGGCCCAAGTCCTTGGGCCCCTGCATCCACGTGGGAGACCCAGAAGATCTCCTGGCTCCTGGCTTCGGATCAGCCCAGCTCTGGCCATTGCAGCCGTTTGGGGAGTGACCCAGTGAATGGAAGACCTCTCTCTCCCTCTCTCTCTCTTTCTCTCTCTCTCTCTCTCTCTCTCCCTCTGTCTGTAACTCCGCCTTTCAAATAAATAAATAAATCTTTTTAAAAAATGAATGAATGAGCCGGCACCACGGCTCACTAGGCTAATCCTCTGCCTGCAGTGCCGGCACCCCGGGTTCTAGTCCCTGTCGGGGCACCAGATTCTGTCCTGGCTGCTCCTCTTCCAGTCCAGCTCTCTGCTGTGGCCCAGGAAGGCAGTGGAGGATGGCCACATGGGAGACCAGGAGGAAGCACCTGTTTTCCTGGCTTTGGATCCACACAGTGCACTGGCCACAATGTGCCAACCATAGCAGCCACTTGGGGGTGAACCAACGGAAAAAGGAAGACCTTTCTCTCTGTCTCTCTCTCTCACTAACTCTGCCTGTCCAAAAAAAAAAACATGAATGAATGAATCATGCCTGCATAGTGTGCTCCACAAATACCACTGAGCACGAAGCAGGCACAGCTCTGTCCTGAGTTAATCCTATTTCGTACCTGTTTTTCAGATGAGGAGTCAGGTGGTCACAGGGAAGTGACCTTACATGCCCTCAGCCCCTGGGGACTGCTGGGCCAGGCCACTAGGGAAGGATTCATGCACCTGGACTTTGATCCCTCACCTCCTGGGTCACACACACACACACACACACACATGCACACACACACACACTCAATCGACCCTAAGGAATGCCTAGAAGGTGAGCTGACACACTAAGGCACATTCTCCCGTTTCTCTCTCTCTCTGTCTCTCTCTCCACACACACACACACACACACACACACACACACGCACGCACACGCAAACGCATCCCCCCTTCAAGAGCACCCTAGTTTGAGAGGCTGAGGGAAATAAACACGCCTGCACACCCCTTGTCCACTAGGGGGCGCTCCAGCGCACAGACGGGGCGGGCCAGTCTTCACCTCCTTTGTCAATTGGTCCCCTCCTCCTTGAGCGAGATCCACTCAAGGCCGCCGAAACTCGTGGTCACCTACACACACACACACTTCTAGTCCCTCCATAAACTCTCCTCCATCTAAGCCAGGTAAGGCCTTGACCCGCCCCTCCACCAGCCGCCGACGGGAGGGGTCGGGTGTCTGACTCACATCTGCTCAGAGGACTAAGTGGGACGCGCTGGCACCCCAAGCTCACTCTGGCCTCCAGGCTCCTTTAGTGGCCACCAGACACCTGACCCACCATGAGCCCTGCCCCCCAGACCCAGGCTCAGCACTCTTGCTCCCCACACCTGCAGCCACAGCCTGACCAGCCGCCTGCGGCCCCGACACAGCACACTCAGTTTGACCCAGTGTGGCCTGGGTGTAGAGACCAGGTCACCTCCCAGAGGTCCTGGCCCACCAGCGGGATCTGAGCCCACAGACCCAGGCTGGCCCTTGCCTGACCTCAGTCACCCTCAGACCCCTCCCCTCCCACGAGCTCCCAGCCCTAAGTGGGTGCTGGCCCCAGGAGAAATCGTTACTGACCAGTACTGATGAACCAGTGCTGACTGGACTAATCATCACTGCGTTTAGCCAGGGTCAGGCTCCGCACCGATGGCTTCCCAGTGATCACCGTGTTTAAGCCTCGCTAGGCCTCACTCCCGGGAGTTAAGAACCGCTGTAATCCCCAGTTCACAGATGGTAACACTGAGGCGCGTGGGGGTGGGGGAGAATTAATGGCTTGAGCTGGGTTCTGAACTCCCCAGGGGAAAGGCACTGGCCTGGCCCCTGTGGCTGACCTTGGCCTCCAGGCACCTGCAAGGAGTGGCACCCTATTCCTAGTATTCCTCCGAGGGCCTGAGCCAGGGCCAGAGACAGGGCCCTGAGGGCCTGTGGATCCCATGACTGCGCAGGAGCCCCATCCCTGCCTGCCAGTTTGGGGGTGTCCCTCTTGGGTCTGTCTGTGTGCATGCCTTGGGGCAGGAGAGGAACAAGCGGTTGCCACCCCCACGCACCACCTCGCACTGACTCTGCTCGCACAGCAGGTGCGTGCTGCCAAAGTCCCTGCCCCTGCACAAACCCTGCTCGGCCACCTGGCACCCCCAACCCGGAAACCAGGGGCCAACAACTGGAGGGCCAGTGGTCCAGCCACCATACAGAGTCCTCATTAGGAGGGGTGCACTCGCCCACCCCCAGCTCTCCGCGCTCAAGGTCAAGGCAGCCAGCGCTGGGGCTTGGGGGCAGGGTGGGGGAGGTAGCCCCAGCCCCTTTGTGCGGCGCCGCCAGGCGCTCGCCCTCCGCCTCCTCCACCAGGCCCGGGAGGAGGGGGAGGGGAGAGAGGGCGGGAGCGGCCGCACGCCTGCCACTCAGAGCTGCTGTCACCGCCTGGGAAAGGGGGTGGGGGGCGCCAGGACCCAGGAGTCCGGGATCCCGAGGAGGGAACCAGAGAGAGGTGGAGAGGGCGAGGGACAGCAGGCGCCAGGCTCGGACCCGGGCGTCCTTATCCCAAGCCACGGGGCCGAGAGGAAGCCGGAGGGAGGCGGGCGTGGAGAAGGCAGGGGTTCCCCCGAGACGGAGGCGCAGCCCTCCCGAGGGGAGCCGAGACGCTCGGGCTGGAGGTGCACGGGCCGGGAGAGGAGGGAAGCCGCGGCCCCAGGCGATCGTGGCGTCGGGGCTTCTGGGTGCCGGGGACCCGGGGAGCAAAGGGGACTCGACCGGGGGCCCCCGACATCCGAGCCCCCACCCCGAGGCCAGCAGCGCCGGGGTCGCGGAGAAGGCGGAGGAGGTGTAGAGAAAGATGCTCGGGCGAGGAGCGAGGGGGTGGTGGGAACCCCGGAGACTCAGGTCCGGACTTGGGCGTTCGCGCGTCCAGCCCGCTCCGGGGCGGGCCCGCCGCCCCCAGAGACACCGCGCAGCAGATGGAGGCGGGGAGGGAAGCCCCCACCCCCAGCCCGCGCCACATTCCTTCACTGACAGCGACAAAGAAGAGGCGCCCCCGCGACCCAGGAGGGGCTCCCGTGCCCAGCCCCCGGAGGGGCGGCAAAGGGTGACAGTCCTCAGAGGCACGGGGGCGCGTGGGGGGACCCCCATTCCACTACCATCCGCGCGCTGGGTCTCCATCCCTATACCCCAGGGAAAGAGTGAGCAAGGGCTAGCGTGAGGAGGAGTCCGAGACCCGAGAGAGGACAGTGCGAACACTCAGTACTTGAGCGAGTTGTGAAATGACGGTAGCCATGGCCCGCATTGGCAGGGCCAGCATCCGGGCCGGGGGCGCCGCTATCTGCCGCGCGCGGGGCACAGCCCGGCAGTGACCCGCCCGCTCTGCCGCCCAGCGCGCTACGATTTCATTCATTCTTGGGGCTGCGGCGCGAGCGGAGCGGGGCGGGCCGGGGGCGGGGCTCGGCCAATCCCCGCGCCTCCCGGCGCACGACGGGACGTGGAGTCTAGGGGCGCGCGGCGGCGCCCGAGGGCGCCCCTGCCCGGACTACACGTCCCAGGGGGCGTCAGGAGGACCGCGCGCCCATTGGCTGCCGGGGATACAGGGCGGGGCGGGGCTCCTCCCGGAGCATCCTCTCCCCCTCCCCGGGGGGTGCTCTGTTCCCAGCCCGGGCTCTCCATTCCCGGGTGGTTCTGAGTCTCCCTGGGGTCTGTGGATGTCCCCAGGATCTGCGGCGGATTCTTGTCTGAGTCTACTTATCGGGCGTCTCTTCGGTGTAAGCCAGTCTCTGACAACATGGGGGCTCATCCAACGCCTTTGTTCGTGTATTGACTACATGTGCCAGGCACCGGGAATGCAGCAGCGACCAGAGTCAAGTCGTTACTCTCAGGAAGCTGACGTTCTAGTGGAGAAAGACGATTTAAAAAT